GAAACTTTAGAAAAGCATATCAACCAGATTAATGAAAAGATTGAAGTACCATGCATAGGGATGAAGTTTGATGGAGATGATAATGCTTATGAATTTTATAAGTCATATGCACATAGTGTCGGTTTTAGCGTAAAGAAGCATCAAATCAAGCGAACAAAAGAAGGCCAAGTGAAGCGAAGAACGTATTCTTGTTCAAAACAAGGGAAAAAAGGTTTTGATAAAAGGCGTGAGCATGTAGCCTTTGAAAGACCGATTTTAAGAGTAGGTTGCTTAGCACGTATGACCTGCCAATTAAAAAATGATGGCATGCTCGAGATTGTTTCTTTTGAAGAAAATCATAACCATGATCTAGCCCCCACTCCGATGAAGCATATGTTGAGGTCCAATAGGAAGATAAGTTATGCTCAGAAAGCTATTGCAGATGATGCTGAGAAAGCGGGATTATCAATCAAGAAAACTATTGATTTACTAGCAGTGCAGAATGGAGGTCGTGAACACAATGGTTTTCTGGATAAAGACTATCAAAATTATATTGGTACAAAGAGAAAGGCTACAATGATTAAAGGAGATGGCCAGGCAATCATGGATTATTTTCGTAAAGCACAAGCAGAGGACCCATCATTCTTTTACTTGGTGCAACTTGATGATGATGATCTTATCATGAATATGTTCTGGGCGGATGGCAGGTCAATAATCGATTACAAGTACTTTGGTGATGTTGTATGTTTTGATACAACTTACAGAACCAATGAATATGGTCGGCCTTTTGCTCCATTTGTTGGAGTTAATCACTTGAAGCAGACAGTAATCTTCGGAGCAGCATTACTTTATGATGAGACAATCACATCTTTCAAGTGGTTGTTTGAAACATTCTTGACTGCAATGGCTGGAAACCAACCCAAAACCATATTAACAGATCAATCAGCTGCTATGGCCAAAGCCATTGAAGAGGTATTTACTGAATCCCATCATCGTTTATGCATCTGGCATATTTATCAAAATGCTGCTAAACACTTGAGTCATGTGTTCAATGCATCCGACCAATTTGCTAAGGATTTTAGTGCATGTGTATATGACTATGAAGATGAAGAGGAGTGGTATAAAGGTTGGGATGATATGCTTACCAAGTATAATTTGAGAAATAATGAATGGTTGGAGGGGATATTCTCAATGAGAGAAAAGTGGGCTATGGTGTATGGGCGTCACATGTTTACAGCTGATATGATGAGCACTCAGCTTAGTGAATCGATCAATAGTGTGTTGAAGAAGTATTTGAAGCCAAAACACAATATGGCATACTTTTTTGATCATTATGCTCGGTTGGTAGAAGATAGAAGGTATCAGGAACCACTTGCAGAGTTCAAAATGAGGGACACCATCCCAGTGTTACAAGCAAATGTTGAGATGTTAAGACAAGCTTCAAAGGTGTATACTCCTAAAGTATTTAAAATGTTCCAAGAAGAGTTTGTCAAAGTTTTGGACTATACTATTGATAAGATCAACAAAAACGAAGTCCGGGTAGAATATAAAGTGAGATATGCAGGTAGAGGCACTGAACACTTTGTCCAGTTTGAGTCATCGTCTCAAGCAGTTGATTGCAGTTGCAAGAAGTTTGAGTTTGTGGGAATTCTATGTACTCATGCTTTGAAGGTTCTAGACAAGAAAAATATAAAGCAAATCCCAAGACGATATATATTAAAGAGATGGACAAAGGATGCAAAGGATGGAGACCTAAGAAGTTCAGTTCAAGTGCAAGGAAGTTCTGAGAAACTTATTGGGAAACGTTACTGCAATCTACATTATAATTTTCGAGAGATATCTACATTGGCAGCTGAGAATGACGCAATGTATGAGCATGCAAGTGAAGTTTTTTCAAATTTGCTAAAGGATTTGCAGGGAATGAGAAAATTTTCAGATGTTGGAACTTCTCCTGAGGAACTGTGCTCCAATCACGAAGAAGACCATCGAGTTGTAGCTGGAGTTAAAAAAAAAGCGACAGTAGGGCGACCAAAAGGGAGGATCAAAGGTGCATTAGAGCTCCGAAAAAGTCACAAAGTTCAATCAAAACCACAGGTTCACTTCGATCTTTCTTTCCTTTTGTAAAATATAACTATTGTACTATCTTAGTTCATTAACCTGTCGTTATGTAATACTATATGTACAGGGTAAGAAGCAGAAAACTAATTGTTCTCAACAAGCTGCTGGAAGCAAAACTGAATTGCAAATTCAAAATTATCAGGTTTTACTTTGTCATTATATTTCGAAGTACTCTAAATGCGATCAAATGAATGGACTATAGGTGAACATATCCTAATAATTGTATATCTAACAAGTGTTTTAAATTTTAGGTGGAACATGAGTCTCAAGTTCAATTATTAGTCCACCAGGAGAGAACTTGGATTCTACAATTTGTTTGAACAATATATCATATACACAATTGCTACAGGTACGAAGTTAGTCCTTTTATCTATTTTATTTGATTTCATTAAAATGTTACTAATGTTAATATTATTGTTATCGTAATTAATTTTACAGGATGCAATGAACTCTCCTTTCGATGATCCGCAAGAGTGACAACCATTGTTCTTCTATAAATATCTCAAGTAGAATAAAGTGACATTAAGTTTTTTCCATTTTCGTTATGTTTCAATACAGTAGTTGTTTAGACTTACATTCATTATTTAGTGGGGATCTATGATGTATCTAAATATTTTTATCTGGTACCGTTCACCTAGAACAATTTAGTTTCCTATGTCAGACAATTTTTTGGAACTTTAAATTCTTATCTATTCCAAAATCTTGTACGAGAGCAAAGCTAAGAATACAGATGCTGCTTTTCGGGTGACGTGTGACTACCGGTGCTTGCTGCTAGTGCTAGGACAGCGACTGAGGCCATCATTCTAGCTTTTGCTTTTCTTTTTTTTTTTGACAGGAAGCTTTTGCATACTACTGCTTCGGTTGCATCATGCATGCGAGTAGTAAAAGTACTAAAAGATGGTGAATTGATGTGTTTATGTCAGGCTAGGGAATGGCAGATAGAGCCAAAATTTTATGGATGGGAGGGGATGTCATGGGTTGATGACGGCTCCGTTACCTCTCTCCCAAACCTAAACTAATTGACATCACATTTAATAATAAAAAAAAATAAAAACTGATAACCAATAACGGGCAGACATGTGGAGGGGTAGCAGCTATTGGCTGCATACTGGGATGCTGCTAAGTTTTTCCCTTTTGCGGCCACTACTTGTCCAAGATTTCCACTTCCCAATAACCCCCAAAATCAATCCCAGCTCGCTTCCTATTGATTTCTCATGCCAGGTCCCAGAGAACAACCAATATGCGATGAATTTTCGAAGAAGAACGTGTCGCCAGAAATCGCCTCAATGTGCCAAAAACTGCCATCCTAGAGAATCGTTGGGTTGGGGAAGAAGAAGGCGTAACCAAAAATCTGCTCCTTGACCCACGCAGCAGAACCCAGATTTGGTTCAAGAATAGGACGAAGGTTGGATAGACGACAACGGCGATGACGAAAGTTGCGACATGTGGGGCGAGGACGACGATGATAGCGGCAACGGAATGGGCGACATCTTGGCCACGGTCGAGGTTGAGCGTTGGTGTTGAATGTGGTTGGCGTTGAGTGGTGTCACGGTGAAGCTGCAAGTCGAAGGAAGAAGCAAGAAAGAAAGGGCAATGGTTGGAAAATAAAAAAATAATAATGAGGGATTTCGAAATAGCTAGGGGTCATCAGCTATTTTAGAAACCTGTGTTTGAGGGTTTTTGACATTCCTAATGTTTAAAATTCCTCATTGTTTATATTTTTTCCAAACAAAGTGATTTTATTAAAATCTCTAATTGTGAGAGATTGTGTTCAAATCTTTTACAGAAAAACCTCATCCAAATGGGGCTGAGAGAAAATTCATGATTTATAAGGACTAGACGTATTTTAGGGAGGAAATTGATAAATTATTGTAAGCAGTCAAATTTTATTTATTTATAGAACTCTGTGAGAACTTTATTCAACAGATACTGCGATTATATTGTCCAACAAAATCTTATCAACAAAATAATATCAGCCTCCATCTCGTCTTCTCTGGGAAAGTACCGCCAAGATCCATTGCCTGCCTCTTGGAGTTGCATTCAGAATGTTCCTACTGATTACTCCTATTTCCGTATGGATGCTTCCTGATGCCGCTAGCTTGGAAGTAAGCGATTAGGAGCACTTCTACTATGCTATATAGTATTGGTGCTTTAATGTACAACTCAAAGTTGTACCATAACATTAAATGTATAAGTTTAGGTTGTACCATAAAGCAATTTGTATCATTATGTTATGGTACAACTTTACAACTTGAAGTTGTACCATCACATAAATGTACAAGTTCAAGTTGTACCATAAAAGAATTTGTACAAAAAGTATAGGTACAATCTAAAGTTGTACCATAACATAAATGTACAATTTTAAGTTATACCATCAAGGCAAAAACCTATAGCACCAATACTATATAGCATTGTAAAATTTCTCAGCGATTAGTAGTTTGTTTCGAGAATCAACAGGTTGGTTAGATGAGCTTGCAGAAGAAGCTGCACCCTGTACTCTGCGGTGAGGGCTTCAGCCATCTCCGGCTCTCAAGGATAAACTTTCCTTGTGCATCCTGAATGATCACTCCTAGCTTCAAACACCACTGCATCCGTTTTTTTTATCTTCACATAACCATGTCTCGGTTTCTGCCAACACCTCACTGCTACAGTTTCAGCCATGGTCTCTTCGGCTACCTGATGAGAAGGATATTCCTCAATAAAGAATTTGGCTCTAGGTACAATAACATTCTCCGCTAGCTTAATTGTTATCTCACTTACCCACAAAAATGGTATTCTAGTTCTACAAAGTTTATGTTGCTGCCTTGCTGGGTTAAGGCAGATCTAAACCGATTGGCACACAATTTGGTTCAAATATATGAATCCCGGTCATACAAAGGACATGATCAACTAGTGACGATCCATCAACACTCTGCATTTCATTTTCTATCATTCAATCTGAAATCACCGATTTCACATCCATGCACTCTTTTGACCAGTGACCAGAGCATAAGTGAGACAAAACGACGGAAACCCATAATAGAATAGAGTAGAGTCAGAGTGCAATTGGAATCAGGTACGGGAAAGTGAAGAAGCTTTTTTCATTAAACACATCAACAAACCCCACAGAACAGAAGTCACTACATTGAGCATCGGAACAAAGTGAGGAAGAACTAAAACTACCACAACCCAAAACACTACTGGATACCTAGCTACACGATTACAGACCCACACAAGAATCAAGCACGCTCGCCCCTAATCCTTCGAGCGAGCTGGATATCCTTGGGCATAATGGTGACCCTCTTGGCGTGAATGGCGCAGAGGTTGGTGTCCTCGAAAAGACCGACGAGGTAGGCCTCTGCCGCCTCTTGAAGGGCAGAAACGGCTGAGCTCTGGAACCGAAGATCTGTCTTGAAATCCTGTGCGATCTCACGAACAAGCCGCTGGAACGGAAGCTTGCGGATCAGAAGCTCTGTGCTCTTCTGATACTTGCGGATCTCACGGAGGGCGACGGTTCCGGGCCTGAACCTGTGTGGCTTCTTCACTCCGCCGGTCGCCGGAGCCGACTTCCTTGCGGCCTTGGTCGCCAGCTGCTTCCTCGGCGCCTTGCCTCCGGTGGACTTGCGAGCGGTTTGCTTGGTACGGGCCATTTTTTGAAGGAGAGGAATTAAGGAATGAAGATGTTAGATTGCTGAAGATTTGAGGGTGAAAGAGATGTCTGGGAATGGGGAAGAAGAAGAAGAAGAAGAAAGAGTATCTATTCTATTGTGATGGGGAAGAGAGTGTAGCCGTTGGATTGCGTGGGGTTATCTACGGTGAGAAATGGATTAGTTTCCGGATTGATGATGTGGATGAAGTAGAGTGCTGTGGAACCTTGAAAATTTGACGCTTCAGAATTTCGAATTTCGATACTCGGGGAGAGCGGGAGGTGAAAGGGGGCCGACCGCGCCAAAACCCAAATGGATAGTTCCAACTTCGAGATGTGGCTTGTGTTTCAAACTGGGCTTACCTGGTACCCATCCAAGCCCAATATGCATGCAAATGCAATCGATCGAGCTTTATTCTTCCATCTTCCTTCCCGACTCGCTCTCAGGAGACCGACGCTCGACAACACCAGCATTAGTCCATCACCATGAAAGCAGTACAGGAATGTATTGGGGATTTCAATTTGTTTCTTATTTTCTAATTAACAAATATATATCCATTTCAAAGAAAAAACTTTCATTATGCTCAAAGATTAAGATCACAGCAAAGAAATAATAGTATCTATCTATAAAATATAATAAACAATTTCTCTATTTATATTTCACCATTTTGGTGGTGCAATTGACGGCTTTACGCAATGCAATTCGGTGGTGTGCGGAGTCAGGATTTCAGAGTGTCCAGTTCCGGAGACGCCAAGGTGGTGGTTGACAAAGTTAATGCAGGGATCGGCAAGGATGCGAGGGCTGGGGCAATTTTACTCGAAGTTTGCATGCCTTTGGATGAGTTTTTGCCAAGGTTGTTAAACCGGTTTATGCCGGTGTACCGGTTTCGCAAGTGAAATGGTTCAACCGTGGCACAACCGGTATACATACTGGTTTATATTGGTTTAACAAAAATATGTATAAGAATTGAGAACCATTCATTAAAAATAATCTGAAAAACTTCTCCATGTCCTGAGTGATTACCCTTCTTTCTTGCTTCTTTGGATGATTGATATGTGGTAGAAGGATAGTAGTAAGCAGTAGTTTGGCGGTGGAAATCAAATTTGGTTTCATGGTAGACAAAATAGGGGAATGTTCTCCGTTGGAACAGAGAAGGAGAAGAATAGTTGTTTAAAAAAAGGAGAAGAATGGTAATTCCAGCCCAGATCGACCAGAAAAGGAAGAGAGAAACAAATCTAAACAATGAAAAGAAAACCCAACTCCTCCAAATCATCCCAATTAACTCCTCCGTTAAACCCAATCCCCAATCATTCATTGTTGCCCTCTTTCCCCAGCAAAATCGGCAATCAATCCAAGCCCTGCTAAGGGCGGCATCTAGCCGCAATCGCCGAGTCCTCGTGACGAGTCGTCCCGCCCTCCGAGCCTCACTGCCCAGCCTCGTCGTCGTAAAGACTCACCGTCCCGCATCTCCGTCGCCGAGTGATGTGATATCGACTAGCGCGATATTTAATTCCCATGGTCCAAAAATGAAGATTCATATTCGACGATTTAAGCATCAATTGGGAGCATTCTTGATGAATAAATTGTGTTCAAAATTTATTGCTGCCAACTCAAGGAACACGTGTGGTGCAATTGCATGGCTGGGCACTTTATGGCATGAATTATTTGGAAGGCATTTTCATGGAATGCCACGTGAATGATGATGGAATTAGAGTTGAATTGTGCTAATGAAAGAGTGAAAGCCAACTAATTTAAACGTGGCAACGTGGAGAGCAAGCAGCTGGAGCAGGGATTCAGATTCCGCCATGGAGAAGGAATTCCACATCCGACGAGAAGAAGAAGGCAACATGTGAAACTAATATGCTGCTATATTTTGAGAGTTATTTAGTATTTAAATTATTTATTTAATTATTATTATGTTTTCTAGTTAGTTTGAGATTTATTTTCTTATTCCTTTTAGGTTAGATTTATCTTTTTATGACCTCTATAAATAGAGGGTGTAAGACCTTCGAATTTAGTACCCAACATTCAAGTTTCAGCAATCAAATACAAGTGTTTACAAGTTCAAGTGAACGTTTTGCTTATTCACTCCTTTGAGGATTCAGGAGGTTTGAGTGGTCTCTTATCAACTAGAGAACGCGTCTAGTTGTGGCGAGCATCGACGATATCGGTTGGCCTCTTCCACGGGTTCGAGATTGTTTGGAAGGTTTCATATACCTTCTGGCCCTTCTCACGAGTTCGGATTTGTTTGATCGATTCCGCCAGTATCTTTATTTTCGTGTTATTCAAGAAAGGAGAAAACCCCTAAAAAGTTCGACTTGTGCAACTCTGGTTTTTAGTCCGATTTGAGAGGATTCTCGAATTAGGATCATATCACCGAGCTTGCTGTGCCGCCAAGCTCTCTGGCCTCTGCACTTTATCCTTTAGAGCTCGGAGGAGGGGAAAGATAGAGATGGAAGGATGATGTATCGGTCTCACGAAGCTGCAAAAGAAAACCCCATCCGACCTTTTTTTTACATTCTAACCTTAAAGTGACGCCGCATTAGTTAGTGTCCGGAATTTAAACTTCCGGTTGAACCACCCAAAATTCCCGATTTTGACCGGATTTGACCAGAGCATCATACCGGTGGCATTCCAGCCGGTTTCGTGACCGGCACTAGTTGAACCTAGTCCAACTAACCGGCATGCCAGTGGCATGACAACCATGGTTCTCGTAGTTCATGCTTAAGTTTGTAGGTAGACAAAACAATAGGGTGGCCCATTTGGTGGCAAAAAAAGCCCTGGATTTGTTTCCCGTTGGGGGTGATAGTTTTGATTTTTGAGCGTGGCTGTGCTCGGAAGTTTGGTTGATGTAACTTTAATTTTCTTGGTAATACAAGCGATCTCTTTCGAGAAAAAAAAAAAAAGATTTTCACCATTTTAGTTTTCATACTTCATACGCATTCACGTTTGCACCTGTTGGGATGAATAGTTTTGAAAAGTTATAAATGAAATTTTTAATTAATTATCAAGTATATTTCTATATACGAAAATAAGAAGAATAATTAATAAAAGGAATATTATGAAGATAATTAGAGTTAATTATCTTAATAGAACATATTTTAATTATGGAAGTAATTATCTTACTAATTAAATGTTACTTACTCCCCACGAAAGAGAGAATATTCTAGGGTTTTTTGTTACCTGTATTTCTCCGGTGAGAAACTTCATGCAACGCTCGTCAATGAGGAAAGATATACGTAAGATATAGAGGTAGAACAAAGAGAATATTGAGAGGAACGAAGATAACTACAACTACTATTGGATTCCAATCTTCAACATGACATTAAACGAAAGACAGAGTACATATTTATAGGCTAGGAAAACCCAAATCCCAATCCTTCCTCCTAATAGGCCGGCTACCCTCTCTTTTTTCCTCCCCAAAACATGAATCCCAACCTACAAGGAAATAATAATAAACTCTTAAATAATAAACCAAATCCTACTTGAATAATGAAAACAATAATAAAGACAATTACTACTAAAATACTAAATAATTAAATAACCAAACCCAAATCGAGGCCCAATAATTATGATGGCTTGATTCTCGTAACATTCCTCCCCCCTTCGCAACAACCTTGCCCTCAAGGCTGGTCATCTTCGTGAACAGAATTGACCCTCCTCCTTGTCGGTGCATGCGCCTATCATTAGCAGCACGTTCTTGTTGGCACAACGATGGCCAATCGTTAAGCGCTTGTCGCAATGGAAGCAGAGTCTTTGTGCTCATCGACGTGCTACCTCCTGTGGCGACATCCTACTAGCATTTGGGTTGCGAGGCGGTGCAGCTCGTGGCGGCGGCGGTGGCGGTGGTGGCTCGGCCCGGCCTCAAAGGGTGCACGTGGTTGACTCCTTTGCATTCCTCGATGTTTCGCCAGCTCCTCGTTCTTCACTTTAGCAAGTCGTATTGCCTCTTGTTACCGTTTATGGATTGAACATGCGGATTGCGCCAGATATTTCCGGTTAGAGCCCGTGAATGAATGATCCCACCAACGCCTATTCGGTCCACCCAAAGCACCGGTTACCCAATTTCTCCAAAGTCAACAAAACGGCGCTCAAGGAACCGGTTTGCTTGATTTTACCGAGCGCCTCGTGGCAAGAGATGTTGTCGGACGATCCAAACCTCGCTCATAACTCCTTTCGAAATCAATGTTATGTCATGGTCAACCCTAATGTCGTATAAGCGCGATCCAACCATTGCCACCACTCCCTCCATGTGATAAGATGCCAAGAGCACCTTGTGTTCTTTCGGAGTTTCCTGACATTTAAAGAACTGCTTCACTCGTGCTAACCATCCAAATGGATCCTCACTCTCGTTATATTTAGGAAACTCCAGTCGAGCAACTTTTGTTGAAACAGACCGGCTTGCTCGTCAAGCCGACCCGACCCGTACCCACGAGACGGGCTCAACCCATCCCCATGGTCTCTCGGCCCGCCTCCACCTTTCGCAGGGCCCTGCCTGCCTCCTGACCCATTCGACAAGTCCGACCCACCTGGCCCGCTAGGCCCACTCGGTCACCCTAGCCCGCCTGGCCTACATTCGCCTCTCGGCCCGTTCAGCTACCTGGACCTGTCTGGTCCGCCCGATCCTCCTGGCCCGCCAGGCCCGCTCGATCCGCCTGCTCTACTTTGCCTGCTCCCACTCTAGTCTCGTTCGAAAATCAAAACTATCACCCCCAACAAGAAACAAATCCAAGGACTTTTTTGCCAACAAATGGGCCACCCTATTGTTTTGTCTACCTACAAACTTAAGCATGAACTGCGAGAACTCATCCAAAGGCAGGCAAACTTCGAGTAAAATTGCCCCATCTTCAGGATTCCCTGCTCGACTCCCTACTATCGTCGGCCGATCTCGTCAATTCACCTGGTGGAAGTTTGTTGAGAGTGGAGGAGACCTTGGACTAGCTCCTCGTCAATCTCCAACTAGTCGGAGTCAGTCGATGATTACATAGACTTCTTTGGTGCCATCTTCCCAGATCATGATAATCGTTCGAGCAACCGGGCTCTGATACCAATTGTTACGTGTATTTTTTCGATGGGGTTATATGTATATTTTGCCCCTCTGTTATTGATTTTTCTCAAACGTGCCGTCTATAATTTTTCACATCAACTATGCCTTTCATACATCATCAAACATGCCCCTCCATCCAAATTTATGTTAGTGTTCTGTTACA